AATGTCCTAGCCAGAAAACCCATCTGAAAGCTTTTTAGGTATTAAGATTGATTTAATGACAAATCAAGGATGATTAATGGTAGCTTCCTCTATTCCTCTATTTATTACATAAAAGCACAATCGCCTCAGTAGCATTGCAGCATGCCTTCCCCACCAGCCTCTGGGGATGGGAAGACTATTCAGAGGTTGCACACTTGTGAAACTGAGCCATATCACAGTCAAGGAGCTGATTTTTCCCTTTAAGAACTGAGAAAGGAAAGTTAGGCAAGATGATGAATATCTGGCCTCTGGTTTTAGATGCTGAAAATCTTTGGAGGCATTTCATTATAAAAGGCACTTAAAATAAAAAAATCGTAAAGAAAACAAAGTCATTCCTCTCTCTTTCCTGAGCCTTTGTTTAGACTCCTTTTCTTGGGATCTGACCTGCACAAAACTGCTTTAGGACTATTTTGTCCAAGTCTAGAGACCTAGAGGGGAGTTGGTATTCACAAGGACTGACAAAAATCTTACAGCAAAGGGAAATAGGTGATTCACAGCACTGCAAGTTAGACCCATCTTTTCACTACATAGATCAGTTTTTAGTTTAACAAAACCTCCACTGCTTGAGGACAATGGTCAGATCAAGATGTTTTAATTGGCCTGAGCAGCTGGAGTCCCACATAAACCCAGTAAAACATCATACACATAATAATGAGAGGGTTCTTGCCTTTTTTTTTTTAACACAAGAAGGACACTAGCGCTCATCATGGAATCATAAAATCTCAAATTGGCAGAGACCCATAAGGATCGAGTCTAACTCCCTGCTCCCTGCAGGACTACCTAAAACTAAACCATATGACTAAGAGCATCATCCAGATCTCCCACTCTGAACTTTTGAGAGGAATTCCAATTATTTGAATACTAATTCGTCCCCTTCTGACCTGTTTCACAGATACCAAGTGTTTCAGGAGCATATTTAAGATGGCTCTTGATAGGAAAGAAAATTAAGGCAGATCAAGCTGGAGATTACAGTCCTGAATCAGAAATCAAAGGGGATCCTTCTGGAGGGTAAAGCAGTACATGCAAAGCTTTGCTAAAGTGTTGATTTGGGAATTATAACTAGAGGCTAAAAACTTGGTGAAAATAAGTAGTGGGTAGACATATAAATACTAGTATAAATAAATGAACTAAAATATTAGAAGGGTGGGCGTAGTGGGAAAGATCTGTGCATTTCCCAGCAACTGCAAGCACCAACCCTCTCTCTGGGTAAACTGAAAAATATTCCAAATACTTTACAAGGCTTGCTTACTTTCCAGGTGCTGGTGCCTCACCCTCTCTCTTTCTCCTGCCCTGGGATAAGGAGGAATACCTTGTTACATCCAGGCGTTCTCTCTCTGAGAAAGCCCAACATTGCACTGAGCTTTTCCCACAACTCAGAGCACGGAGAAACAGGAGTCAGTAGAAACAGGAATATCCATTCAGAAAATCACATTACTTTCCTTTCTAGCCTTCTGTAGAGGACAGATGCAGGAACAAGCTACAGCTGTGAGATTTTTGAGGCTGAAAAGCTTGAACTGAGCAGGGCACAAGCCTCTGGGTCTGGGCTGCTGGCGCTTAGCCTGTTCCCCAGCAAGGTGAGAGGCTTTGGCACCATCTTCTGGCATCTTCTGCCTCCTCCACCCCACCTCTGCTGACTGCTGAGATTTCTTATAGAGGAACCAGCTCTTCTGAAAAACGTGATTTCCTATTTGGAAAAAAAAAAAATAATAAACAAAGGCAAAGTTAGATGGCTGCAGTGAAGTAAGTGTTGTGAATCTTTGTGCTGTTTGTACTCCACACCAGATGATTAAAGGTCATTTGTTGGTGTAACAACTGGAATCTGTTAAGAACAGGAGAGCAACAGCAAAATATGAAAACTCAACTAGTAACAGGATGTTGCTGCTTAATAGAAACTTTTCACAAGGCAGCATTCTTCTCTTTACATGATCTGTTTTTCTAAATAGCTTCAAATAATGCATGTGTTAATATTATTTTCAGGATAGGTTGCCAAGAATGCAAAGCATTCCAAGAATAGTTGTCTCTAGTTCGACATAACTGAAACAGTAGAAGTAACATATTAGTTTGGTACCAGAGAAAAAGAGACTTAGCCGTCTTGCATCAAGTACCAGCTTCTGTTCCTGATAAGCAGCTGTCTCACTGAGTACCACTGGGTGAGCTGCTTACCTTCCACACCATTGATAGCCAACACAAAAGTCATGGCCTAGGATGACCAGGATCCACAAAAAAATACTCTGCCGTCTAAGTTTGCCTCCTAATTTTTTATTAGGAAGTTAGCCAGAAATCTTGAAAATTACCTTGCAAAGTAGAGCAGTCAAAACTCAAAGTGGATTCTCCTCTTTTCCCTAAAAGAGACTCATCAGTAAGACACTAACAAAAGAGAATAGAAATGTTGAGCTACAGAAAAGCTGACATGAAAGAGTAAGGTTCAGGCAGTCAAATCAGAGCTTCCCTCTGAGCTGCTAGCTCTTGGAACACAGACACAAATCAGAGGTAATTCTTCTGCCAAGTCAAATAACTGGGGAATAGGCACACAGTATCATCCGCAAATCTGGATTATACAGAATCATGGAAGAAGGAACAGAAGAAATTAAAGAAAACAGTGCAGTCAGCAAGAGTGGTGTTCTCACCCCAAAGCTTGCTCTCCATTTGCACACTGATCAGTTGTGACAAGTTACAGATTTCTTAAATGCCAAGTTAAAAATTTCTGATGTCAAAAAGAAATAATGAATTATGTATTTTTATTTCTGAGCCTTTAAGGTTTTTCTCATCTTATTTTCCAACATAGGAATATGAATGGAATCCTTGAAAAAAATCTTGTGATACAACCAAGCAGGCCAGTTCAATACAGCACCAGCAGGAAAGTTCCCAAACCTGTAGCACACAAAAGAACCTCAACACAAATACGAAAGATTTTTGAAAATCAGTCTATTGTAATCATATTTAAATCAGAACATTTGTAAAACAAACTTATGAAACAATCTAAAGTAGCAAATTTTTCTGGCAAATTGCTGTGAACCAACATTTCACCTACTGTAGCAGAAGATTTTATGAGGTTAGGTATCTTCAGCAAAACAAAAAATGAGTTAGTTGTTAAAGGAAGAGAAAAAAGATTGAAAGACTAAAGTGTGCCTGCTATTAGAACCTGACAAAAGCAATTTCCCAAAGATATATGAAAAGAGAAATTAAAAAGTTTGACCAAACTAAACATAGGAAAGGTAGGAATTTAAAGATATAGAATACAAGTGAATCAGATTAAATTGTTTTAATTAATCTGTGAATTAAATAATTAAAACTACATACCACTCATAAGGTAAAGTTGTTTTAAGAACGGTAGATAAAAAACATTATAGGCACATCATATCATAGAGGTAAGGCAGAAAACAGCGTGTAAAATATTACTATTACAAAACACAAAGATTATTTCTTACCTTAAAACAACAGAGTGCATTTACAGTGGCAATTTATAATTTCTCAGTAAAATCTAGAGAACTGGTCCTTCCTAGTCTATTACACTGCCTCGTACAAGAAGACAGAAACAGTTGCCTCTTCTCCTTAATTTGTTTTAGGGTTTTGAGGGTCATGATTTCAGCTCCCTGCAATCACAAGGGATTGCCACTTCCCACCTATTAAGCCAATGAGGATTTCATTGCAATTGATTGAGAAAAATAAAATAGCAAGAGGCAGTATCATTTATCTATCTCCTATACGCAGAACTAGCCCCAGAGGTTTCCAGCAGAGCTGTTAATGCTCATGTTTGAGGCCATGCCTTACCAGAGTTCCCAGATGTCACCCCTGCAGCCTGCTGACACCCAAGATGCTGCCTCCAGACGAGCTCCTGATACTCCAGCACTGTTTGACCATACAGCTCCCAGCCAAGAACAAGATGACAATTCCATTTACTTTAGCATTTCTCAAGTAACAAGACAGAGTTGAGAGCTCATCTCAGTGAGAGTCTGCCAGTAAAGCTGTAGCTGCCTGTTCCAAAAGTCCTGGTTTGGGGATCACTCAGTCACATCTCATTTGGAGAGAAAAATCCAAGGCAGGGAATGCACATGGAAGGCAGCAAGATGAGCTACCCATAAAAATAACCATGCAGTAACATCTCTGCATCCCTCACCAAGCAGCTACAGCGTAGGCAGAGATCTGGGGACCGAGGACATGCCACAGGAGGGACAGCTGGGGAGCTGCATGCCTTCTGCCTCCTACTCAGAGAACAGACACGACCCTTTTTCCACTCAACTGCTTTTTGAAAGATCATAGGGAAATGAAGTGGCATAATTTGCTTTTTTCAAGGAGTTTTCCCTCTCCAGCACCTCTGCAGATTAAGTTAGTTGGAGAGGTGTAATCCATGTCTCCAGAGAGGAGAGGAACACAGACATCCCAGCCCTGCACACTTGCAGGCACAGCACCCGAGCAGAGGCCAACTTGGCAAGAGAAGTTGTCATCTCAGCTGCACTGAGCATTTCTTTGAGGATCTCTGAGTTTTTGTTGTTTCCCCCATTTTAAGACTCTGGTCCCATCCTATTTGGCATGGTGACCTCTGGCATACACTGTAGGCAAATCCACCAAAACACAAGCTGTTCCAAAAAGGAGTGGGTGTACAAGCAGCTGTGTTAAACTCTCTGGATGCTGCTTCAGAACAGAGATACGATATTCCAGCATGAGCTTTGGAGTGAGCTTCACTGTGCTAGGAGATTTTAATGGATACCTTGAAGGCTATAAAGCCAGAGAACTGTAAGATACACCACTTCAGTGTATATCTCCAACACAACCCAATGATTTTCCCATTTCAAAACAGAAGATATTAAAAACCTGTCTGATTTAACAGCATCAGTTCATGGAAGAAGTGGGAACCTACCATACTTCCATGCTGCTTTTTTCTCAATAAACACAGAAAAACTGCAGGGGTAAAAAACAGCTACGTCTGTTCATGAACATAATTGCTATGTTTTCCATTCCAGCTCATCCTTGCCACATGGGAAGGAGGATACAACTTGCAGTGCCAGAACCTCCACAGCGCAGGGGAGGCTGACATCCGGGTGAGAGACAGCAGCGGCTTTTTAAAAGCCACATATCAAGATCTGTGATCAAAAGAGTGCTGCCTAGCTATTAAAACAGAGAATATGGATCATTTAAGAAATTGGGAGAAAAAAAAAAATCAGTCATCAAATGTAACAGTTGTTGTGCTCTAGCTGAAAACTGATTTAAACCCACGTCTAAATGTTGGAAAACTGCAGAGACATTGTGCTGGCTTGGCTCATCTCTAGTTTCAACCCTTATTTCTGCATCACTGCATTTCCATGTATTAACTCTGTCATTCTCCATACCAGGCTTGCTTTCTAGATTACGTTATAGCTCAAAGGTAGAAAGATGGGTTAACTTATTTGATTTTCCGCAATCCTCAAAATTCATCAGTGTTTTGGCAAGGAAAAAGCCAGTTAAATACCTCTTCTCATTAACAAGGTATTTTCCCCTCTTCTGTTTTAACTAACTGTCTTTGACTGTTCTGGGACACATCCTGAGCTCTGGTAAAGTGTCTCAACTCTAGAAGAGGGTCTATTCCATTGTACCAAGTGTCAAATTTGTGTTACTTAAAAAGAAGAAGCTGCCAGCAAAATCTGTGCCAAGAAAGTACACCCTTAAAAAACCCACAATCCCCTCCCACAACTGTATCTTTGAGAAAAAATTAGAACAATTAGAAAATCCTTCCTCAAAGTCTATATTTCTTAAATTATATTTAGATAATTATACACTTATAAAATCACATTAATTACATCATTTTTCTAAGCTACTTCATTCAAAAAGGAAAGAAAATTGAAGCCAGAGCCTGTGCTCCTCCTTCAATAGGACATTAATGCCTTTTGGGAAGTTGCATGCCTAGGGACTGATGAAGTACAGCAATATTTAAGTACTTTTATGGTCAGATACTGATCTCATGCTCCTTTGTTCTTGCTTGTACAGGTAGCCAAGGTGCTGTGGTGGTATTATTTTTCCAAAGTAATTGAGTTCATGGACACTATCTTCTTTGTACTGAGAAAGAAAAGCAGCCAGATCACCTTCCTTCATGTGTATCACCATGCCACTATGTTTAACATTTGGTGGTGCGTTCTGAACTGGATACCTTGTGGGCAAAGTAAGTCTCTGCTAGCTTCGTCACCTGGGGTATAAGTCACCTGCTGCTGGAGGGGAATGGCATCGCCACGCAAAGCAAGCATGGCACTGGGCTATACGACAGCACCTTTAAGGTTCATAGCCTTTCAGAACTGCTGAACACCTGCAGACCAATTTAAAACTAAAAACATGGTTAGAAGTTCAGGCCAAAAATATCCGAGTGTTAAGCCCTAGGTTTTCCACTCAGCTGCCACAACCTCCCGTATTTACTTCTCTTCAAACCACTTTTAGGCAGGATAACACTACCGAGTAGTACAAAAGAACAACCACATATATGAGACCTACTCCAAAAGCAGATGTAGGAGAAAATCATGACCCTAGTGAAGCCAGTGTCAATCACAACAAATTAACTCAACAGCATTTTTACAAGTTTGACTCCTGTATGCCTCAATCTGACCTTCTGCTTTAAGCAAGATACTTCACTTAGATAATCACCAATTAAAATATCAGTTTGAGTTTGTTTTAATTGAGAATACATCTCATCCAAGCAGTAGAACTACTGGGCATCCAGAACTGATCAACATGATCTTACATTTCATATTGAAATAGCAGAAGTAGCAGCATCTTTTCCTTTATTGTATTTTGGGTTCAATATATTTCATGAAATCATAGAATCATTAAGGTTGGAAAAGACTTGAAGGATCATCAAGTCCAACCGTCAACCCACACCACCTAACCCACTAAACCATGTCCCTAAGCACCACATCTACACATTTCTTGAACCCCTCCAGGGATGGTGACTCCACCATTTCACAACAGTGATCTCTAAACGACTTGGCTCTCATGACAATATTGAAATTGTCATCATCTCTCCTGCTTCGGTGAGGAAGATGTACATATGGTGCCACAGTCTGGTACATATACACTTTTCAGGGCTTCATACAGCCAGAGGTTTCCTGTGGCATGTTATCAGGGTTGAGAATCACAGAATGTTAGAGATTG